AAATGTTGAAATTAATTCATGCTGTTATGGGTACATGAGGTTTTTACTACAGTAAGTGTGCTTCTATTTATATTTGGTTATTTTCATTAAGAGTTTTTTAAAACTTATACTGTCAAAATCATCAATGCCATCAAGTATGTACATATATATATACACATTTTAAAATATAAATGAGATCATACCGTGGAGTTTCATTACTCCAGATACTGATGTTGATTCATTAGTTGTGATATTAGTTGATTCATTAGTGTTACAAACCTATGTAACATAGTAATATAAGATGTAAACAATACATCTATGACTGTAACTTTTCTTTTTCTTTTCTTGCAGAGGTTTTTGCTATAGGGCATGTGCGTTCACCAGAAAGACAAAGAGAGACAGAGAGACAGAAAGCGAGAAATCACTCCCCAGGGGGAATGGTCACACCACAATCCCTTCTCCTCCATTCTCTCGGGATCTTGGGCACACATGCACACGCTCCTGGTGTGAGTTTAAGCCACTGTCTGGGACTTAAACCGCGGTTGACTTCGTGGGAATCCAGCAACACAGCCATTACGCTAACTGCTGGTCCCTATGACTGTAACATTTCTATACATCTAAAATTATTTTTAATTATTTATTTATTTATTAGTTTTCGGTATCAGGGCTTCCCAGAGAGATGCAGAGAAAGAGAAAGAGGGAAAGTGAAAAATCTCCCCTCGGGGGCTGGCCACCCTGCAATCCCTTCTCTTCCATTGTCTTCTCAGGATTTTTTGGCATACACAGACAGACACACCTGGCATGATTCTCAAGCTGCTGGATTCAGGACTAAAACCAAGAAACTGCCCATGTGTGATCCAATGCCTTAACTTCCACGCCATCTATTAGCCCAAAATTATTCTGAAATGTTAAGAAATGTTTTAAAAAAGAATAAACAGACCTAGAAAATAGACAAAGTAGGGGCAAGAGAGAAGAATCGAGAGAAAAACTGAGGGCGAGAAAAGAGAAACTTCAAAAAAACTTGAAACTGACAGTGTTCTGCTAAATCACAAAGAATAGTAATTTCAAAGTATTAACCAAAGTGCCCTTTGTAGACATATTACTAGTAAAATCTTAAGAATAATTTGTTTGAGACCAGCATATGGTTAGTGATTACATTGCTGGACTCCCACATGGCTGACCACAATTAGAGTCACATACCTGGAGGTTTGAAACTCACAATGGGTGCATGAGCGTGCATGCCTAAAATCTCAAGAGGAGACTAGAAGAGAAAGGACTGTAGTGTGGCCATCTCCCCTGGGGGGGGGGTTGTGTGCCCGCCCCCCCGGGGGGGGGGGGTGAATTCTCATTTTTGGTCTCTCTGTCTCTCTGGCTAGCACATGTGCCCTATAGCAAAAGCTTCTCTACAAAAAAAAAGGAATAATTTGTTTCCCATATATCATTTGCCTAGATCTCCCTATAATCCCACCAAAAATAAAGCAAACCAAAAAAAAATCCTCTGTTTAAGAACTATTAAAAATAAGTTATTATAATAATTATAGAAGTAAAACATAAATATTTCAGCCACAAATATCTAAGAAATATGTAGAACCTAATGCATAATTCAAACACTTGCCTCTGGAGTTGCTAATGCTTTCACAGCATTCAAGTCAGATCCTGAAGAGAAAGTATTCTTTGCCCCACGGACAATGAGGCCTTTCCCCTCTGTCCAATTTTCCAATTCTATCACTTTGTCCAGAAGTTGGAGCATCATAACACCTGCCAGAGAGCAGAGGGATAAATTACAAACATACATAAAAATTGGAAAAATAGAAATAATCTAGAAATCATAAATTGTCAAGTAGGGTCTGTATTTTACACACATTTACTGAATACCTATCAAGTACCTATTACTCTGGTATTATGGCATATCCAAAAAAGAAGATTATGGAAAAGACTTTAAAGAGCTTCTAACAGGGACCAGCAGTTAGCATAATGGCTATGTCACTGGACTCCCATGTAGTCGACCACGGTTTGAGTCCCAGACCCGGTGGTTTAAAACTCACGCCGGGCATGTGTGTGTGCATGCCCAAGATCCTGAGAGGAGAAGGGATTGCGGCATGGCCATTCCCCGAGTAAACAAATTGAAACAACTGATCTAGTTTAACTTCTTAAAAATTCTTACCTTTCTTATTTTTCCTGAGCTAATATTAAAATTAATTTTTATTCTCTAAATCAATTGATGGTATAGAACTATCCTCTCTAATAAACTAGCCACATGTAGCCCTTGAGAACTTGAAATATGGTAGTCCAAATTGAGACATGTAGTGACTGTAAAATAAACACCATATTTTTAAGATTTAATTTGAAAATATAAAGGAAAACTTCCATTGTTTAATATCAGTTACATGTTAAAATAGTATTTTGATATGCTGAGTTAAAATAAAATGCATAATTACAATGACTTTTACCCATTTCTTCTTACTTTTTGAAAAAAAGTTTATTTCCTTCTTCTGTAAGAGACAGAGCATCAGCAGTTGGTGTGATGGCTATATCACTGGACTCCATGTAGTCAACCATGGTTCAAGTCCCAGACCTGGTGTCTTAAACTCATGCCGGGCGCAAGTGCATTCATGCCCAAGATCCTGAGAGGATAATGGAGGAGAAGGAATTGCGGCATGGCCATCCCCCCTGAGGGGTGATTTCTCACTTTCTGTCTCTCTGGTGAGCGCACGCACCCTATAGCAAAAAATTTTCCGAAAAAATAAAAAGAGAGAGAGACAGACAGAAAGAGAAAGGCATCTCTAATAGGACCCTCATGCTGCAAATCCAATCCCAGTCAACCTGCCCAGAACACAGGCATGTATGAGTGCCTGGAATGCTCAGGGAAGACTCAGGATGCAAACCCAAGACATTTCCCATGTGGTTATGTTATTGCTGTCCCACTGCCTGGTCCTCCTTTTTCTTCTTTAATTATGACGACTAGAATACTGAAAACTGCATGTGTGACTCACATTTGTGTCTTGCATTATATATATTTTTTAAAGAGTTATATTAAACTTTATTTATTTTAATTTGACCAGAGAGAGACAGAGCGAGAGAGTTGTAAGTAAGAAAGGTCCAGGACTCAAACTGCGGTTAACCATGTGGGAGTCCAAGCACCCTTCACCACCATGCCACCTACCAGCTCCTCTTGCATTGTATTTCTATGGTCAACACGGGTACACAGAAACATCTCTCAATTCTGGTAAATGGACAGGAAGTCATCTTGGGTGTAAAGATTCATGACCAGGAGAGCCTGTAGTATGGTAGTTACGGTTGCTGGGTTCTATATGGCTAACTGCATAGTTTGAGTCCTGGACCCTGTGACTTAAGAAATACACCAGGTGCATGTGTATGCAAGCCTAAAATCTCAAATGAGGGAAGAAATGGAGAAGGGATTATAGCATGACCATTCTCCAGAAAGTATGCTTTCTCACTCTCCATCTCTCTTTTTCTCTTTTTCTGTCTCCAGTGAACACACATGCTGGAAAAAAAATTTTTTAAAATTATAGTAATAATGAAACAAAAACCCATTACCAGTAATTTACAAAATTTACATTCTATTGAATTATGTCTATAGGTATGGTTGTATATAAAGTAGATGCATGAAAATTTATTGAGATGGTTTTAAGTCTGACATTTCATATGTTACTAATGACTATAATTTAATTCCTATGAAATACATAACTGACAGGAAGATGTTATCAAAATCACCTTGAAATGTGGGTAGTGGGTGTCAGCAAGGTTACTCATTAACTCTTACATAACATCGTGATAGCATAATTCAAATTAAAGTTGATTTGTAAAAATTACAAATCAACACTTGTCTTGAATCTACATGTCTCTTAAATTATAAAAATCCTTATAAGCTACAAGTGTTGATTAGCAAATAGAAGGTATTTACTCTATCCAAGAGTTACAAAAGGTCAAGAGATGACCAACTGTAAGGTCCCCACTTAGACCTTAGTTGTTATAAGACATCCATGATTCACAGAATTACGTGGTTAAAACTTTACAATGACAGTCTTAATTCACAGGAAAAAAAATTTAAGCTAAGGAATTCTCATTTTTAGGCTTTTCTCTTTACTTTTAGAAAATATTTGAAACCTTCCCATTTTTTTCCAGTGGCAACAGCTGAAAACAAATAGTCATTAAGTGTTTAATAAATTTCAGTGAAAAAATACTCATAAATATAAAAATATTCAAATATTCATGGTTAGTAAAAATGCTTCTGGTTCATGTTACAGAGTTTTTCTGGACTTCTTTTGGTTGTTATTGTTCTATAACAATTACCAGGACTTTCAAAATTTCTGTCACCAGAGCAAAGAGAAAAAATATGATAGCAAGTTAGTTTTAATGTCATTCTTTATTTTAGAAAAGAAAGCTCTCCAATACCTGAAAAGGCATTCATTTTACTTGGATTGTTCAGAGTAAGAATGCCAATGCCATTGTCTTCCTTCTGAAGGTCAACGGATCCACCAGGAAACTGATGAAGTTTCTTTTTTACTTCTTCTTCATGGAAGCCATGCGATATACTATAAAGTGACAACCCTGTTTGATGTAGCAAATTTGTCCTTACAGATGTCTTCAGCAGACTATTTGCCATTTCTGGAGAAGAAATATAAATATATAATTATCCAGATAAACAGACACTTTTCTAATATTATGTGTTAACTGGCTCTGCTGATGTGCCTCTCTGTTGAATAAGGAGTCTTTTCTAAAAGCTCTCATTCAGGAGACAGTCAGTATGGAATTCCTTTTCTTTGTTTTCCTTCTCAAATCAAATAATTCACAATGTGTGTTATTTAGTAAGTGGTTGAGAGATGACATAATTCAGTGAATTTACGGAGATCCAATAAATACACTAGGAAAATTTAGAAAAAAACGTCGCTGTTCATTTTGATTCTTAGTCCAGGCACTCCTCACTAGGTCATTAAGCGAATTAGTTAAATGAAGAGCTTCTCATGTGTCTTGGCACTACAGGGTGTGGGTATATCTTTTTCAAGAGACATCACATGACACCACAATAGGATAATATCATTCGATCCATACAAAAAGCATACATTAGATAAAAGCCAGAAAGCAACAAAGCACACTACATCAAAATAATATAAAGCTGGCATAATTGTTATAAGCTTCCTTCATGTTCATGACTCTCCCATCCTTAACCACTACTCTTTCTTTTTCAATTCCCCTTTCATCATTTTTAGATCCCAGTGGTCAATGTATATAGGAAAAATAGGGAAATACACCAAAATATATCATTCAAAATGAATTCTGAAAACTTTGCTTTCTTAAAAACAGTTTTGAGGGAACCAGCAGTTAGCCTAATGGCTATGTCGCTGGACTCACACGTAGTCGACCGCGGTTCACATCCCAGACCCGGTGGCTTAAAACTCACGCACATGTGCGTGTGTGCCCAAGATCCCGAGAGGAGAATGGAGGAGAAGGGACTGCAGCGTGACCATCCCCGCTGGGGGATGATTTCTCGCTTTCTGTCTCTATGTCTCTGTCTGTCTGGCGAGCGCACGCACCCTATAGTGAAAATTTCTCCAAATAAAAATGATACTTTCATAGATCTGGTACATTTGGTCCTTCACTTGAGTAATATGGAACACATCCCATTTTTAGAAAAAAAAATTTTTTTGAGGGGCTGGCAGGTGGCATGGTGGAAAAGGTGCTGGACTCCCACAGGGCCAACTGCAGTTTGAGTCCCAGACCTGGCACCTTGCTTTCTTAATTTCTCTCTCTGTATCTCTCTGTCTCTCTCTGGTCAAATTTAAAAAACAATAATAATAAATAAAACAATTCTAAAAACGTTTTGGAAAAACACACCTAAAAAGTACATTATCAACTAAGGCCCATTTTTTACAACAGGACAATATTTTTTACTGGATTGTTTTACACAGAAAATAGAAGTTTGGCTGTATTCTAAGAAGAAGTAAAGAAAAAGCTGTCTAGGTTCTTGGCTTATGGGCCATTAAGTAAATTAGACTTACTATAGGATTTTATGAATAAGAAATTCATAGGAAGGATTCAAGTGCACAGACAGCACATGAATATGGTAAAATATTTGTCGTGAGATTATTTTGTAGCAATTCAAGAGCACTAACTGAATTCCTACTAGTGATTTCCTCTTTGCTAAGTCGCATAGAGAAAGCACTGTTATGCTCAAAAAGTTTTCAGATTCACCAGAGAAACAAAATACACACACATAAAGCTAAAGTACTTCAAATATCTATTTGAATATATATTATTTTTTTTTAATTTTATTTATTTATTTTTTTATTTTTTGAGAGGTTTTTACTATAGGGAGCATGCGCTCACCAGACAGACAGAGAGAGAGAGAGAGAGAGAGACAGAAAGCGAGAAATCACCACCCAGGGGGGATGGTCAGGCCATAATCCCTTCTCCTCCATTCTCCTCTCGAGATCTTGGGCACGCACACACACACGCCCGGCGTGAGTTTTAAGCCACCGGGTCCGAGATGCAAACCGCGGTCGACTACATGGGAGTCCAGCGACATAGCCATTATGCTAACTGCTGGTCCCCAGTCTCTTCTTTTATTAAACTCTATTAGAGATCTGCATTAATAAAATGTAGTCTTATTTCATAAAAGGATATCTTTCTTTTTAACCAGTAAAACTTGTATTAAAGGATTTCTATAGGAACAAGTGAATCTGAAGACATTAAATCAGTGCATAGGATTATGATACTGTTTCCCTTCATTCTTTCCAATTTTTAAAATTCTAACTGTAATACCACAAAAAAATCGAGTAACATACCATCTCTGCTGGGAGTAATTAAAGGAAAAGAAATTCAGATATGTTTTTTTGTTTTTGTAGTCCCTTCTGAACAAGCTATTGGCTGAAGGACATACACTTAAGCTATTCTTTGAGTCATATATTGTCAGGTATAGTTTTTTCAAAGATTATGTTAGAGCTAATCTATTACAGCATGAAAAATACATAGTTCCACTCCCCTTACCAAAGCAAATTTAGAAAATTAACAGTAATAAGTACCTGCTACAATTTGAATGTTTTCATTCCCTTTAAAATTAATATTGAAACCATCTGCAGTGCAATATTGACAGATGAGGTCTTTTGGAGGCCATAAGGGCTCTATCCTCACAATGGGATTAGATATCTTTTTAAAGGATTTCAAAGGGAATTGGTCTTTCTTGCCTTTCTGTTTTCTGCCATGTGAGGACTCGTATGTACGGATTCTTCTTCTATAAAAGATAATGTGTTCAAGACACCATCTTGGAAGTAGAGATACTGGTGGCTTGATCTAGAACCTGCCAGCTTCCAGAACTGTGAGAATTAAGTTTCTGTTTTTTATAAATTACCCACTCTCAGGTATTTTATTATAACAGTGCTAAATAAACTAAGACAGACCTACATTTCTATTTAACAATTAATTAAAGTTTACCTTTGTATGCAGCTTCCCTCTAAAGACCTGCTTACTGTCAAATTTAGAAAAAATACAAAAGCTCTCAATCAAAATTCTCACTCTCAGCTTTTCTTCCAAATATGTACATTTTTAAAAATGAATTACCAATATATTAAAACTCTTTAAAACCTGAGATACTCTGTCAGGTCACTTTATAGTTGCCTAGAATTATAAGTCTTTTGAATGGATAAGAGCATACTTTATAAACGGGTCATCTGAATGTAAAGTGTATATAAAGTACTTACAATGCAGATCTATTTATGGTTATAAAACTATGCAATACTCGTTTTCATATATTACTTCTATGAAAGATAGAACCTCAGTTCACTAATTTATTTATACTTTAATTCAATTTATTATATTTGGTCAAAAAAGAAGACAATTAAAGGTGTGAAGAATGAAGGATAATATTGACTGAATCACCTAATTCATGTTTTTTAAGTTTAAGTTTTGGGACTAGGTGGCGTGGTGAAAAATACATAGTTCAGGTTAAGGGCACTGGACTCCCACATGGCCAACTGAGGTTCAAGCTCCGGACCTGGTAGCTTGCTTTCTCACTTTCTCTCCCTCTCTCTCACTCTGTCTTTCTCTGGTTAAATTGAAATAAATATGGTTAAATAAAATAATTCTTTTTTAAAAATAAAAAGGGTAAGTTTCAGAATATGGCTGTGTCCTATTTCTTAACTTAGGTAACAGATAACAGGTTATTTTTTGTGTTCTTTAAATTCTTATATATTGTATATTCTATGTATGCATGCCACATTTACTTCTCAATAAAATGTTTGTTGTTGTTGTTTTTAAGGTTTTTGCCACAGGGCATGTGTGGTCGCTGAAAACTGAGACAAAGAGAGAGAAAGTGAAAAATCACCCCCAAGGGGGAATGGCCATGCCATAATCCTTTTTCCTCCAGTCTCTTCTGACTTTGGGCATGCATGCACATGGGTCTGGTGTGATTTTCAAGCTGTTCCGAGATTTGAACCACAGTCAGCCATGTGGGAGTCCAGTGTCTTAACCTCCATGCCATCTGCTGGCCCCTAATTTTTTTTTTAACTGAATATTATCATTCCAATTTTGATTATCAAGTAATCTCTCTAAGCTTCAAAACTGTAATTTCAAAAGTTTCTTAAGTACTTTATTTCTTTACAAACAAAAATTTAACTGTATGAAATTTCTTTAAACTGGCCTCTGATCAGACTGCTACTGGACCACTATTACTCCATCAGTCCCAGCTAACAAATCTCTGGTCCATTTGACAAATACTGCATTGGGAGACACTGATGATAATATAGCCTATCAGTGTTTGAAGTCTCAGACAGGTCTGGTAACTAAGAGACCTTCTTAAAAATAATGGTATTTCTTAAAAATTGATGCATAACCAGAAAACAGCAGAGAATTAGGTATGAGATAAATGGTAGCACTTTCGGGATAATCTGCTTCCACTAATTTAGAAAATTCTTAGGGACAGAGACTGCATCTTATTCACAACCCTTAAAACACAGGGTTTTACATAAAATACTAGTAGAACCATGTGATACATAATGTAGTCATTACTGGGGTTTTTTTAAAAAGAACTATTTATTTATTTAATTCCATTTGTTATTATTATTATTTAATTTGACCAGACAGAGAGAGAGAGAAAAAGGGAAACCAAGAAAACAAGCCACCAGGTCTGGGACCAGAACGGTCAGCCATGTGGGAATCCAGTGTCCCCAACCACAACACTTGCTGGCTCCTAATGTGGTTATTACTGCTTAGGTATTACAGTACCTAACAATCATTTCCTAAAGCTAAGGTCTATCTTTACAAAACAGAAAAAATATATTTTATTGCTATGTAGCAACAGAGTGAGGATATTACAGTTGGCCAGAGAAGTAAAATTTCTTTCCACTAGCCTCTGATAAGACTGCCACAGGGCCACCATTACTCCATCAGTCCCAGCTAAGAAATCTCTGGTCTATTTGGCAAGAGTTGCTTGTCTGGTTTTATTTGTTTTTTTTTATAAAATGGGTTTGTATTACAACATAATCTCTAGTGTATCATTAGTCAAAACATTAATACTTTTGCAGCCAGCAGATGGTGTAGCAGTTATGTCACTAGACTCCCACATGAACAACCACAACCCAAGTCCCATATCCAGTGGCTCAAAACTCACATTGGGTGCGTGTGTGAGCACCCCCAAAATCTTGGAAAAAGAATAGAGGAAAAGGGACTGCAATGTAGCCATTCATCCTGGGAGGTGATTTCTTACTTTCCCTCTCACTGTCTCTGTCTCTCTATCTGCAGTGAGCACATGTGCCCTAAGGCAGAAATCTTTTAAAAATAAATAAATAAATATATACTTTTTAATACATATTATATATATGCTTTTTTAAATGAGGCTATTAAGTAATTGACAATTACATTTTCTAAGTGTAATATCTATAATACATATTTTATAAGGGTCTGATTGGTAATATTCTAACTCTTCCAACTATTTGACCAGATCTCCCTCACAAGGATATTGGTTTTTATAGGTTAAGGATAGCCTAATAGCGTCTCTGTAACTTTCTCAAAATGAGAGGCAATTTATCCAGTAGGTACTAAAGTGAATATAAGAAGGTCTTCAAAAGGTCATGGAAAATGTGTACTATGAAAAAACTAAGATGGTTTCCTTTTGTGTGTGTGTGTGTGCCAAAATAAACCTATGTTTTAATTCCATTTTTCTAGAACTTTTTAAAGTCTCCTTGTACTTAGTAATAATTATTAACAAATTAAATGAGGACCCCCAGACCTGATCTGCTATATACTCTTCTTCATGATTTTTTTTTTCCAGAGAAAGATATCAGTTTTGAGCTAAAGACAAATAATTCAGCTAAAATACTGTTGCTTCCTACCAGAGGCAACAAAAGGAATTTGATTCCACCAGTACTGGGTGACTGTGGTTCAAGTCCTGGGCCCAGTGGCTTCAAAATCAAATCACATGGGGCACTTGTGCTTGCCTGTTTGCCCAAGATCCCCAGAGGAATGGAGGAGAAGGGATTGCTTCATGGCCAAACCCCTGGGGAGTGATTCCTCACTTTCCCTCTCACTATCCCCCACACCCACAAGCCCACATACCATAAGTCTTAAAAAAAAAAACAACAAAACACTATGGTATATGAAAGTACAAGTGAACAAAGGAAAAATGCATAACATTCAGATCTTGTATAAGCATATGGTTAAACAATCGGTATTTTGTTTTTCTTCCAGACTCACAAGACAATGAAGAGGTTTTTGGGCATTCAAAGTTTCATAAACTTTCTTCAGGGCAAACATTATATTTAAACTTTTATACAGAATGCCTTGCTGTTGCCCACAAAGCAGACTCAGCTCAGTTGAGTGAGCTCACAGCCAAGTCACTGGAAAGATCAGATATTAGACTCTCCCAGAATCTAAGATCTCCTCCCACCCCTGCAATCTGCTATCTGAGATCAAAAGTCTCACTCTCCACATTTTTTCAAGTTCTGCAGAGGCGGTCAAATACAATCCCCTCCATGCACAGGGAATAATAATAAGATCTCTTAAAAGCCCTTACTTATTTTATCATCTGTTAGAATCACTTAGTCCCAGAAAGTGAACATGAATCTATATTTAATAAGAAAACGATCAGCTTAAGGTAGTTATGTATAAAAAGGGAAAATCAGAAGTATTTTACTTTAGATAGTCAATGTATAGCTTACTTCCCAAGTTTTGATTTGGTTTAGGCTGTCATCATATAAACTACCTTTCAAATCTCATTACATGTCACCAACACCTCTTCCACACACAAAATAAAAGAAACGCAGATAAGACTTGCAGTTTCTCAAATCCTCCATGTTTTCTGACGGTTCCAACTTTGCACACACAATCCCTTTACCTATTACACTTTACTCCTAAGTTAATTCTAAGTCACCTCCTCTAACTATCAAGACTACATAAAGACTCCTTACTGTCTGCTCTCCCTTGATAGCCCTCTCTGATGCTTTGCTGTAATCTCTTTAACCAAATCTTCCGCCTAGACTATCTGCAATAGGGCATTTGTAGTGCCATAATTTTCTTAGAGTAAATTCCATACAGCAATTTAAAATAATCTGGCCAGAAACTCCAGCTACCCTGTTTATTAGTCTCACAACTCACCCTGCTTCAGCTCCATTCCTCCTCAGAAGCTGATCGGGCTTAATGAATATGAATTACTTCCTGTGCTTGTTCACAAGGTTGGCCAGTAAGATCTCCAGAAAGGATTGGTACTTATAACTATGCTCCCCCAGCTCCACCCCCAGCAGATTTCACAATTTTGCTTCTTCCCCAAGATGATGTAAGGTCTCAAATAAATGAGTCCTCTGTTATCCCAGCTAGGGGCTGTTTATATCCAGTTTGCATCTCTAACTCCTAGAACTACAGCGGAGTTGGCTCTCAGATGCGAAAGGGAAGAAAGAAAGGAAAAAGTGATGATTTCGAGGTCCTCTTAACCCTTTCAACCTCCAATAAGAGGTTCAATGAGACAGAAGTGAGATTTCTGGCTAGGTAGATAGGCTAAGGAATCCATGGAATGGAGAATATGAGACAAGATGGAGTCACTTTAATAGAAATTCATTTGCTGCTCTCGCTAAAAATCAGTTATTAGTTCCCACTACTTGCTTACACAGAAAGTCGCTTGCAGCCTGCTTAAGATAATGAAAGCTAAAGCCAACATTCCAAACCCAGGGTGTAACCCCGAGGAAGGACCTTGAACAATATGTTCTTCTTCCACGTTCTTCCACCTTTCTAAAATGTAGGGCCATCTATCGACGAGGCTAAAAATAGACGAATTAACCAGTCCTGAGAAAACTGTCCAACTCAAGGACCATGATTAACTTAAAACTCCCTAGCGGCAAAACACACCTGCACTGGCATCTCTTATAAGAAAGTTGTTGGTTGGTTGGTTTTTTTCCCTGCTCTCTCTTTGGATAAAAAGTAGTTTTCATATAGTTTTTTTTTTTTTTTTCCTTTTTGTCCAGGACGGTATAACTGGGCCACTCCAACCCCTGGGTGAAGGAGTGACCCTATGCGGGTTCCCCCTTTCACTTCGCTGGAAGCTTTTACTCTTTCTTAACACTTTGCTTACTAACCTGTTTGTGTTTCTAATTTCTCAAGTGCGTGGAACAAGAACCCACATAAGGGTTGGGACTCATCAACACAGAACCTTGTCGTTAGTAACATCTACAGTTTTAATCCCCTACATTGATGTTCCTTGCAATGTATAGCGTCAAAAGCATTATTGTGGCTCAAAAATATTCTAGAACTAAAGAACCCATACGAAAACTGGTTTGCATTTTGTTGTTGTTGAAAAGCTGGGTGCAAGAAACAAACCGTATAAGAAGTTTCAGGTAAACAAGATAACTTAA